AGATAGAGAGAGAGAGAGAGAGAGAGAGAGAGAGAGAGAGAGAGAGAGAGAGAGAGAGAGAGAGAGAGAGATGCCAATGCAACTATTTTCCCCCCTGCCCCGATGCATTTTTCACAAACCCACATTGGTGAGCCACCCTGTCCCTTTTATTTATTTTTGCATTATTTATTTTTTGCACGGGTCCAGGAAGAAGGTCAAGAAGACACCCATGTTTGCCTTGCGGAGGCCGTGTCTCGTGCAGGCCAAGGGGACCGACCCGAGGCCGGCTTTCCCCGAAGCAGGAACTGCAGCTCGAAACCCCGGGACCCGCCTGTTCCAGCAGGAGAACGGTTTTTTTGTTTGGGGAGCGTTTCGAAATATGAGCGAAACGCGGACGTCCAGGTCCAAGGCAAACATTTCCCCGGGGGCATTTTGGCGATGCTCTCCGAAGGTATGCGCGCAGGTTGCCCTTCCCTTGCTTTGAAACGCTGCAGCCAAAGGATCCCCAGCAGCCGCTCGGAAGAGAAGCCGGCCGGGAGCTCCGCCGTCCAGAAGGGAAGCCGAGATGCGCTTCCTGGCCTTCCAGATGTTGCTTCTCTGCCTCCTCCAGCTGAACCCCTCCAGATGTGGGGAAGCAGGAGCCGGCAGCAGGTTGGAGGCCATCCTCTCCGCCCTGGAGGAAGCAAAGGGGTTCCTGGAGGAGCAATATGAGGAAATCAATGTGGATGCTGTGCTGGGGTACCGCTTGCTACAAGGTATATCTCAGGGAGGGAGGCGAGTTGGGAGTTCAAATCCCCCACAGTGCCTCCTTGACAGGGGCTGGTCTGGATGATCCCATGGGGTCCCTTCCAGCTCTGCAGATCTAAGATGATGGAAGAAGGACTCTGAAAAAGAACTACAGACATTGATTGGGTTTTCATAGCATCTGTGTGCAGCCTTGCTTTCCCGTCTGTGAGCTCAGCTCAGGCTGTAACCTCTAAAGTGTTGCCTTCGAAATTGGGGAGCCTCCCTCACGAGGGAGGGGAGCATAAAGAAATTCCAAGGGGGTGCAAGCGTGCAAAAATGTTCATGATAAAAAAAGCACAGTTTTATCAGCTTTAACAAATTTCCGCCGGAGCTATCATTTGTAGAGGTTAGTATGACCCGTTGTAATTCAAGGTCAACGTGAATCAAAATCTTTAAAGAGAGGGATGTTTCATTTTCAAAAAAAAATTAATTTAAGTGTTTATGTTTTATTTTTCATTTTAAATTAGTAACTGGTCCTGTGGTTGTTTAAAAAGGAGGTGGGTGGTGACCGAGAACCAAGGGTTTCTCGGAAACAGAAAAGGGGGGGGGGATGATGCTGAAAAGGGGTGGGAACAGATGGTCTAAATTGCGATGTGACCCTCACTTCGGCCAGCACGCCCCTGAACAGGCTAAGAGCAGAAGCACAGAGGAACATGGCAATCCTTATAAATCAGCAAAGCGGGAGAGTGCAAGCATCGTGTCTGAGTATTTGAAGCCATTCTGGCAGTCTTCCCTAGTGGCCAGTGAGGAGGGCACCTCAGTTGGATGTGCAAGGGGTGGAGAAACCTCGTCCTCTTGCGTTGCGCCCTGAATCCGGTGGGTCATCATTGTGATATTTTCCCCAAGAGAACGTAAGGCAACGTGTTCTAGGGATCATAAACAGCAGCATATAATCCCTTTGTCGTTATTGTGCTTTTACCGACACAGATTATGTTCTTACTTGCTGGTGGGCAAGTTTGTTTTTCCCACTTCATTTTCCAAAGCATCTTGGCTGGCTTTGAGTACTATCCCGCTTTGCTGCTATGTTTGCAACGGGAAGAAGGGACGGCGCTGGGTTGTCCCTTTGCCTCGGGTGGCAAAATGCTTTGGGACAGCCCCCCTCCTCTTTCTCCCTCTTTGCCACGTAGACTGCCAGAGAAGAGGCCAGAGGAGAGAAACATTAATTTCTGGTTAAATGAAACTGTTCCAGAAACGTCCACCCGGGAAGAAACGCCAACCTGCGCAGGATTATTGCTGTTCCTGGGCAGAGCGGTGTCCTTCCTGCACAGGGTTCGTCGGAAAGGGGACAGAACAGAGCTGTCTCCTGTGTAGGACGGTGGGAGAAAATTAAAAAAAAATAAAATAAAAAGGAAGTTGAGACCTTTTGCGGGAAGTGGGCAAATCCCAGTGACGGCAAAAGGAAAATCTCCGTGGTGTGGCTCTCCATGGGAAAACTTGGAAAAATCTTGGAGAATGTCATATTGTGTCAGCGCTCATCATTTCCCTGGAGAAGACTGGGATTTCAGCAGGAGGGAAACACTGTCTGATGAGCAGGATTAGGCCAGCTGCGTATAGACTGGGGTGTGGGGTGCACCCCGTTTGCACCCTGTTGGTGAACTTTCCCTGTTCCTGCGCTTTGCTTCTGCCAACCCTGTCTTTTCCTTCTGCACGTTTCCAGTTTACCTCAACGCAACCATGGAAAAATGGGACCTGACGCCTGAACCGCACCCGGAGCGGGAGCGGGTGGCCCGGCTGGAGTCGATGGTTTCGGATTTAATCGAGAAAGCGAGGCGCGCCAGTGAGAGGAAAGATCCTCGTTATTACAAAGGTAGAATCAAATCTCTCAGTGGAAGATCTAGTTGTAGTTACCTGTTTTTATAGCGCAGTAGATCCCCGTATCCCTTGGTTCACTTACCCACAGGCTGAAAATATTAAAAATATTAAAAGAAAAATCCCAGGATATATATATATTTCTAATAATGGTTACAATACTGGCCACTAGAGAAAGCCACAGACAATGCAATGTATAGAGTTTGCTGTTAGTGTTTGCTGTAATCTGCGTTTTTCAGCATCGGTGGGGAGGGTGGCTTGGACCCCTTGTGGAGACCGGGGGTCCTATGGTGGAGAATCCTTGAAAAACTGTATTCTTTTCACATCCTGAGTGGACCCATCTCATCTAAAGGTCCCATAATTCCCAGACGCTCATGTTGCTAGCTCGAGCAGGTGGGAGCTAGGGGCAAAATATTAAGGAAAAACTTGGGGTGAATATTAGAAAAGTTACTTTTTGGGGGGGGGAATGTAACTTTCCCAGCTATGATCTGGATTTCTGTCCCAGACTTCTCTAAGGCAGAAAACCTTGAAAAGCAAGGTTTGGAAATACTAAGGATGGACCCGGGAAGTAGTTTTTGCTAACTGGGCTGTGGAACTACCCAATACTGTATATAGATATAACGTACTTTTATGTACATCATAGCAAGCCATACATGGAAAGGTGCACGTCAAGCGTAGGAGAGGCGCCTGATTCTTAATCGTGGGGGGAAAAAGCTATAGTATAACATACTTTTATGTGCATCATACCAAGCCATACATGGAAAGGTGCACATCAAGCATAGGAGAGGTGCCCGCTTCTTAATCGTGGGGGGAAAAAGCTATAGTGAAATCCATGCCTGTGTTTCATTTTTTCCAAAATACTCAGTGAAATCATGGTATATTTTGTGGTGGTATATGAATGATCTTTGTAACAGATCCATGTTTCTTGCCTTGAAAGTGATGTGTCCCTAATTATTCATTTTAGCTAGAATTTCTGGACTTCTGCAAGGTTTCTGCAGGTATTATTGAAGGCTTTATTTGCATAAAAGAAATGGGAAAATCGTCTCAAAAGCCGAAGCTGGCCTAACGACATTTTCTGGCTCTCGTTAAAGTTTTATAGGATTGCCCTTTTTTCCCCCAACGGTTTCTTGAAAATCGTGTCGCTCCCATCCGATTCTGTGAGAATCCAAGCAACCATATCTCAGTTTTGTAAGTTATGAAACAAACATTTAAGATTGAGAAGGTATGACCAGCGATAATTCTGCTGAATTACACAGAACCATAGACTTTAGCGGAGGTGGTTATTAAAAAAAAATAGAAGCATCGGAATGGTAGATTAATTGCCGGAAGTTGGGAGTTCAATTCCACACTGCATCTCCCTAGTGTTGCTTCCAACTCTGCAGTTCTAAGATTATAAAATCATAGAATTCTAGAATCATGGAGTCGGAACGGGCCTTTAAGTCCACACACACCCCTGCTCAAGGCAGGAATCCAAATCAAAGCGGATCTGACAGAGGGTTGCCCAATGTTCTCTTGAAGGCCTCCATGAAATTATAATTTCATGGACTGAGAGGATAACAAGCAAATAAGTGCTAAAGCCAATAATTGAAGATCAAGAACACACCTAGAATTCATTGGCCCCCATCATGGTAAATACAGCTATTGTTCAAGAAATTGAAAAAAAACAAAAAAGAACGACAGGTTGGAGGAGAACGTACGAGATCATTGTTTGGAGCTACAGAAGCTAAAGTCAAAAGGGCCGTTATGATGTCCAAAGTCCAGCAAGGGAGAAATGGAGAGAAAAGCTCTAAACGGCTAATCTTTTCTCCGCTTTTGGAAGCCTTTCACAAATGTTCGCTGGCTCATCGGGTGAGCCGGCAAGCAAACTAGAAAATTGTCCCCTTATTGATGGGTTGTCTTTGCATAAGAAGCAGAGAACGGTGGTCCCTGAACTCCAAACAAGAGAGGGCATCTCAATCAAGCCTTCAAACGGAGGGTGATGCAGAAGGGCGCTCAACGTTTTCCGCTCCAAAAAGTGTGTGCCGTGATGGTTGGTGGGCCCCTTGCCTCACCCCTTCGGGGAGGGCATGGGCGCTACACGCAAGGGGGACTTAACCAATGTCTGAAGGATCGCTTCCTCTTTCTGCCATTCCTTTTCAGCGTTTGCCCCTGCATTAGCGCCCAGATTTTGGAAGGTGCCACGCCAATGGGCTCCGCTCAACACTTCCGTCGCTTTCGCCCTCACCAATGGCTCCTGTCTGGAGATGCAAGAAAGCGACGTTTGCCTTTCGGCGATATTAGGAACGCTGTAAGGATTCGGCTGGCCTCTCCTGAGCGTCTCGGGTTATCACGGCGATGAGGCTTGGGGCCAACTTTGGCGAGGTTGTGTCCTCTGGTAGCCGTAGGACGGCAGCTTCCACCAAGAGGATGAAAATAACTCAAACCCTGCCTGAGAGCTGTAGAGGAGGAGCACATAAGCTTGCTCGACCTTGTGGCTTTCCTTGCCCTAAGCAAGAGGGGATGGACTAGATGACCTTTCCGGGTTCTGCGTGGATGCTGGGAAGTGGTCGTTTGAAACAGCATGATGTTTCAGCCGCACAAGCTCTGCATATGAATCCAGGGGGGGGGGGTCAGTCTAAAAAATATACTTTCTCTAAGCATGGGTTGCCTATGACTGAGTTGGTCCCTTTGTTACCCTCTGCTTTTGGAACTTAACTCCCTCCTTTTGCACAGGAAAGCCAGCAGTGAACCTTGCTTCGTTCTAGAAAAGTGCAGAATTGTCGAGACGCAAACTCACTGCTCAGACTACAGCTTATCCCATCAACTTTTCTACTTCCTGTTTGCAGAGATGGTAAGTTATTCGGCATCCACTGACTTGACTCTCGTTGGGAATAATAGGGTAGGACCCCCTCGCCCCCATATCCATCAGACATCGGTTCCAAGCCCCCCTGAAGTTACTGAAAAACACAAATTATAGTGAATACTATACATAACAAGGTTTTTGGCTCTCTCTAGTGGCTGGTTCTGGTAATGACATTGTAGAAATATATATCTAGCATGGTCTTCGTGTCCATCTAGTGGCTAGTTCTGGTAATGTCACCTTCAAAAATGTATATTTCTAGGATTTTGCTTTTATTTATTTTAAATCTTTTCAGACCATGTATAAGTAAATCAGTGGATACTGGTTCCGTGGATAAGGGGATCCTACTCTAATTGGATTTAAAATATCCTCTCCCCACCCACCAGAAAATTCTTGGTAGCTTCTGCTTTATCATAAAGTAGCAGAGAGGATCTTGGAAATGCCCTAGAGACCAGGAACAGCGATATTGGCAGTCAATCCCATTTCTCCTGGCCTGCCCCAGTCTTGAGTTATTAATACCCAATGCCCTGCCTTAGTTTTATTCCTCTCCACTCACTCATCCGCCTTCTCTTTTCATGTCTAGCAAGGATGTTTGGATCCTGTTTTCCTGAACACCCCCTATTATAAGAATGTGTTTTGCCATTTGATGATGCAATACAACCTCAATGCCGAAAAGCAAGCACACCTTACCTCTTTGGGAGACCTCTTTACGGAAAACAGTAAGTGAAGAAGCAAGAGTTCAGTGTCTTTCTCGGTTCTTTAGCATTTCCTTGCGAAGGACTGAATTCTACAAGCAGCAGCGATTTCTCCAACCAACCAACCAACCAACCAACCATCATTTCTCCAACCAACCAACCAACCCGTTTCTTCTTCTCCTTCTAGCAAAGTTCACGGATGTGTATGTATTCTCTTCCTTAGTTCTGTTCTGCTCTTCTTCTTCTTCTACCAAAATTCACGGATGTATATGTATTCTCTTCCTTAGTTCTGTTCTGCGGCATGGCTGGGTTCTCTGATTTCTACAAGCCAGCGTGGCTGAACCTCATTCTCAGCTGGCAGAAACCAGGGAGAGGATGTTTCTGGATGTACGGTAAGGGAAGAACTGCTGCATTATCTCAGGGGTTGAGGTCTTTAGCTGCAGAGCCAAAAGTTGGGTGTTCGATTCCCCCCCCCGCTTTGCCTCCTGGTCAGGGGCCGGCGTCCATGACCCATAGGGTCCTTTCCAGCCCTGAAAGTTGGGTGTTCGATTCCCCACTTTGCCTCCTGGACAGGGGCCGGCATCCATGACCCATAGGGTCCTTTCCAGCCCTGCAGTTCTAAGATGAGGATGATGAACACATCTGCTTGATTCATCCGGTGCAGAAGAACCAGCATGTTAGCTCAAGATATAATAGGAGGATATCTTGGGAGCAGAACTTGGATGTAACATGCTATACCTAACATATCAAGGTGGTGATTTAAGGAGAACCCAATATTTTTAAGTCTTCCGACTCTGTTTTCCGAGGAAATCATTCTTCCTTTCTCTTACCTCTTAGAATCCTTGAGTCCAGTTCCCAAACCGCATGTCCAAAACCCACGAAGATTTAAAAGGATGGAGAAAATTCTTCAAGGTAAAAATCGGTGTTTTGCCAAGACCAGTGTTGTTGACGTATTGGTGTAGGTACGATGGATGTGTGTGCGTGACTGTTTTCAAGAAAGCCAAGCATTTTTAACACACAGGTCTTCAACATGAAAATATATTCCAGGTCACGTGATCTCCTTAGACCTTTTGAGCTCACCGTCTGCGTATGTCTTGTCCATGTTCATGTATGTCTTGTCCATCATAAGCGCAACTCAAGATGGATTTTGTCCATATTTTTGACCCCACAAGTGATTTTTCACCAGGAACAAGGATCACGGTGGGCAACGATGACATTTCTGTTCCTCTCTTGATCCTCACAACACTTCCGCGAGGCAACGTGGAAGGAAGGGAGTGACAAAACTAAGACGATACATCGAGAGCCTTAAGAAAGGAGTAGTCCTTTTGGCTTCTACTCAGAAGTAGGTCCCAGGGTGTTCAATAAGACTTGCCTCCATGTCGGTGTGCATCAGATTCTGCTCTGATTTAATGGCCAGGCTGGCTGGGAGATTCAGGATATTCTGGTTTTAATTTTTTTTTAACTTTTTCCAAATCAAGTGACAAATTTGATTTAATCGCCCCTTTGACACCAACATGTTCTCTCCGCAGATGGATGCTCTTCCCACAACACGGCCGTGGCGGTAGCAGCCATTGGGGCTTACCTTTACTACGGTTCCTGATATGTTGCTCATCAAGAATAGGTACATTTCTCGATCATCGTCGTCCCCCTCGCCCTGGACATCGCCGCCCACTTCATTCTGCTTCCAGCTGGCTCACAGAAAATGCACTGCTCATTACCACGAGCTTTCCATAGACCTCACAAGTCTACAGACTTCACCCAAATATCTTACCTACCCAACGAAACACTGATTTTGAACAATGCACAAATTCAATGGTTCCCCACCTTGGTCTGTGTTCTCAGACTGCAACTCCCAGAAACTCTGGCCAGCACAGCTAGTGGTGAAAGGCTTCTGGGAATTGCAGTCCAAGAAACACCTGCGTTACTTAAGGTGGGGAACCACTGCAACTCATGAATTATCAGGGTTACAAATAAATATAAGAAAGATTGCTTGATCTAGTAATATTATCCTTCAATCTGAATTAAAACTGGGCTCTTAAAAGATAACCTGGGTGTTCTTGAGTTCGGGAAGCATAGGAGAGACCCACACTGCCTTGTCAACCCCCTTACTTATCGGAGCGTCTGTCTCCCAAGAACATTGACCCACGCCATCCGATCCAGTCAAGCCATGCTTCTCTCGGTGGCCACAGCAAGGGAGGCCAGGAAAATTTCTACTAGAAACCAGGCCTTCTCAGTGGTGTCACCAACCCTTTGGAATCATCTCCCCATTGAGTTGTGCCTGGCCCCCTCCCTGCCTGCCTTTAAAAAGTTGCTCAAGACGCACCTTTTCTCAGAGGCTTTGGATGGCAACTTCACGCAAATTTGCCACTTGCTCCATTCGCCCTATTACGGGCTAATGTTCGCAATGCTTGATTCGGTTTGATTGGTTCTTTCGTTTTATCGCTGTTATTGTTTGGTTTTAACATTATTTCAGTCTGATTTTATCAATTGTTAACTGCCCAGGACGAGCATCATGCACTAATGGGGTGGTAGAAAAATCTATGAATGCTCACCATGGCCGTGGGCTTCGTTGGCGACACATGGGGAACTTAAGAGTAAAAGATTGCAGAATGGCACTTTTCTGTTTAGGGTTCCCTTCCCCCCCCTCCCCCAGTACTGTGGGCTTTGTTTGAAGATCTGCAAATCTGCAACTAACTTCAGAAATAAATAATTCCAGGAAAGGGGTCTGACAGAGCCCATTTATATTCCTGATATTATGTTATAGGGTTTGACAAGACCAATTCAGGACCTCCTTGCACTCAGCTCCAGGTATTGCTTTCCAGCAAGCTTTTTTTCGTGATTGGTTGGCGGAAAGCAAACAGGGGCTTCATTTGCATGTTTGCCTGCCCAGCCTCAAAAATCACATTACGAAAGACGAGGCGGGGGAAAAACAGGTTGCTGACAGGTCATAGGTGCTTCTCTTTAGCTGTAATCTATTAACCCATGTCTGCTGGGAGAAGCTTTGACTTCAAACATTAGAGGCAGAGTTGTGGTTTAGTGCAAGAGATGTTTATTGATCCGCCGAGCAGGACATTTAGGTGAACTACAGGCTCTGACACAATTTAGAACTGCCAGATGGTGGGTGCATTAAGGCATTGGGGGGAAGGAAGAGAAGCAGGATCTTTCTAGGTCAAAGAGGACAAAACCATTTTATCATCTTGGTCGTTGCTATTTCAAACGGTTGAGGGGAGGATCGGAAAACTCTCCTACCCATCGTCCTACCCCACACCATCATCTTGCAGGTAGTAAGCGAGGCTACTCCAAAGGAGGCGACATAGGTGCCTTCCCTCCTTGAAGGATTTTTTTTTTCTGAAATACTGTGAATTTTTGTGCTCAGAGATCCCGAGTATGTTCCTAAGACTTCAACTGGCAGGCATTCTATGCGGGGAAAAGGAGCCACTGAAGCTTTCAAACCAACTGAAGCCAGTTACGTTTCCAGCCCCTAACTCTGGACCTGTTCATTCATCTCTTTTTGTAGGAATATATATTATCTTTTTTCATATATATATGTACAAACACACAGCAGCTGAAATCAACAGGGATTCAAGCAAGCTAAAGAAGTGGCATGTCCATACTTAAGGGTTTCTAGGCAGCCCCATGCTTTGTCAGCTAGAAAGCAGGTACGAGGGTGTGAGAAGCAGGGACATCTGAATTTAAATCACCTGGAAAACCCGTTGGCACTGCCACTGCCCCTCTGCTCCCTGACAAAGAATGCTGGGGACTGTAGAAGAAGAAAATCTGGTAAGAAATTCTAGTCAGCTTTGAGAGCTACTTTCCCCAGCATTCCTTAGAGGGGAAGCCATGACAGTGGAAAGGGTTGAAAATCTGTTTTCAAAAAGTGCAGTGCGGATGTGCCTTAAGAAATGAGGTGACTGTCAGAAGCTGCACAGTGTTGACATTGGGGATAAAGGGACAAGGTGATCTCGGGAGGTGGTGGCGTCTTCTATTGGTTCTGTAACGATCCGCTTCCTTTTCAATCAGAGTTGGGTAGGAACACAACCTCTGTTTGGCTTCTCAGGCAATGGTCCCCAACCTTGGGTCCCCGGAGATTCTTGGACTACGACTCCCAGAAATCCTGGCCAGCATAGCTAGTGTGAAGGAGTTTGGGAGTTTTAGTCCAAGAATATCTGGGGACCCAAGGCTGGGCCCCATGGTGCTCAAGTTATCCAAAGTGTTCCCAGATTCATCCAGAACTAAAGCAACTCCCCACGCCCTGGAGTGACCCCTTCTACAGGAGTTCCACGTACCAACCCCAAACCCTAAACTGTTTACTAATCCACTGAATGCTAGGGTTACAGATATCATGAGATCTTAGCCTCTTTTAAACAGCAAGTCAAACATTTCCCAGAAGAGCAAAGCGCTTTGTCTGATCTGTTGCTGCTGTGTTCCTTCTCTTTCCTATTAAGAGAAAAGAATAGCAAGGGAACCCTTAACATGGATAATTTCAACAGAACAGAGTGGTAAAATTTAACTGAATAGACTACAGGGGGAGGGAAAAAAAGCAAAGCAGTGGCATGTCTGGGAACACCTTTCAATCTTTTGGCACTCTGAAGTTGTCCTTCTCTTTCCGGAGGGCTCCCATTGTCCGTATGGGATCGGTTTCCTTGACGTGCTGTTGGACGGCAGGCTCTCTGTCAAAGAGGGAAGAGTAAGGTGGGTTGCGTTGGGTTCAATCAATGTTGGTTGGGTTCAATCAATGTTGGGTTGGGGTCAAGAGTAAGGTGGGTTGAGTTGGGTTCAATCAATATTCAGTTAGGTTCAACCAATGTTGGATTGGGTTGGGTTCAATCAATGTTGGGTTGGGGTCACCCAATGTTGGGTTCGGTTGGGGTCACCCAATGTTGGGTTCGGTTGGGGTCACCCAATGTTGGGTTCGGTTGGGGTCACCCAATGTTGGGTTCGGTTGGGGTCACCCAATGTTGGGTTCGGTTGGGGTCACCCAATGTTGGGTTCGGTTGGGGTCACCCAATGTTGGGTTCGGTTGGGGTCACCCAATGTTGGGTTGGGTTCAATCAAGGTTCGGTTAGGTTCAACCAATGTTGGGTTGGGCCTAGAACCATTCCAGGAATCGCAGGACTTACCTGACTCTCATGAATGGATTGTACGTCCAATGTTGGGTTGGGGTCAACCAATGCTAGTGTTTAGCCCTAGCATGGGGGAGACCTAGAAAGCATGAACCAGTGAGAAAAAGCATTCTTGAACAAGCACCAGAAGCCTTTTCCTCACCACTTTTTCTACAGGCCGTCAGGTCAGAGGGGACTTGACTTCTGAATAGGTTTCCTTGAATCTTGGAATCTTCAATGTTTTTAAATAACTGGACAACTCAGAAGTTGTCTAGTTATTTAAAAACAACTTCTCCCAAAACAAGGCCAAGAACAGAGATATTGTTTGTTGAAAACCCTGTTAAAAATGTAAGCATGCGTACATCTATGCCTATGTACGGTAGGGCCCTCTTATCCATAAGATCAGTATGTGATTATTCACTTATCAGTCTGAAAATAATCTGCTTTTTTCAGCATCCATGAGAGGGGACCTGGGACCGATCCCCCATGGATACAGGGGTTCTACCATATCTACATATATTAGCCATCAAGACTAAGAGATCAGCATAACCCTAAACTCATCCTTAGACACATCTGTGAACTTTAAAGGTGCCGCATGTCCTTTTCTGTTATATATCAAACATAGGTTGTAAATTTGGGAGGCAAGGGACGTTCCTGAAGATACACCATCTCCTCTTGGGCAACTAGCGTGCAGCCATGGCTCCTTGCCGTTCACCCCGCCCGACTCCAGCCTCGTCCTGGGCCTAGAACCATTCCAGGAATCACAGAAATTACCTGACTCTCATGAATGGATTGTACGTGAACTCTTCCCCGATCGTTGAGGGAATGGTTGGTTCGCCACCATCGTATTTTGCCTAGGGAGACAAGACAAAACTTCAAATCCCTGCCTCCTCTAGCAACCGCCCACCCAGAGGCAGCGCCGAACACCTGTTCGGCCAGTAAACGAACCAGCGCGAACTCTGAGCCGGTGGTTCGTGCCCATCTCTAGTCAATATCATGGAAGGAGGAAACACCCCCACCCCATCCTTGCTCTTGCCTTCGCCCATGACAGCTTCCGCTGGATGGCGCCGTTGCTGGGCTCCACGTGCCGAGCAAACTTCAAATTGTTGATGGTGTATTCGTGTCCGCAGTAGACTCTCTGGGAAGGAAACAAACCAAGGTAAATGTGGAAATTGCCTCATTTTCACTACATTTCTCTCAATCTTCCCCCTCACCCTTCTTATATATCAGGTTGCTAGATTTATCTATTTATTTTTCCTTCTCGCATTAAAAGGAGGGCATCTTTTCGCCTGTTCTCATAATGCGAGCCTTTCTTTCCGCAATTTTTACCGAGTACGACCTTGACTTCCATCCCTAGGACAATCGCTATAGGGATGCCCTCCATTAATGTGGGTCTAGAAGACAAACTGAAGTGGGCGAGCAGATAGGCCGCCTTAAGCGTCTCTAGAGAATGCAATTATAGAAGCACCTGTTCTCATAATGTGAGCCTTTCTTTCCACAGTTTTACCAAGTACGACCTTGACTTCCACCCCTAGGACAATCGCTATAGGGATGCCTTCCATTAATGTGGGTCTAGAAGACAAATTGAAGTGGGCGGGCAGCTAGGCTGCCTTGAGCGTCTCTAGAGAATGCAATTATAGAAGCGTGAGGCCACTTTGCTTCTCCCGGCTTCGTCCTCACAACCACGAATTTCATTTATATCGTGCCTTTCCTGACAAAAGGTCTGGGCAGCTCACCGTTCACCTTGAAAAGCACCGTTAAAGCTCTAAGCCACAGGTGTTTTAAGATCATACATTTAAAATCACAGATTGGAAATATATATAATCGCAGACCTGAACACAAACAATCTGTAACTCAATTACAGATTTCTAAAGACCGCAAATTAAGAACACCTTCAAAAAAAAGGCAGTGAAAGGGATACAGGCAACCAGCGGCTCAAGACCCACCAAATGTGGGCACATTCTATGAACAAATTAGATTTCAAGTGGCACTTAAAGAGTGGTTTTCCGTAACCTGGCGTTATGGTAGAAAAATGAGCATTTATTCCGCCTTAGTCCAATGGTCCCTAAAAACCAAAAATGAGCATGAAGACAACTCTGCACGTTAAAACATTCCCCACCCATTATTAATGAAAAGTGATTAGACTTTGGAGGTCAAGAACGCTTCTCGAAATGTGGTTCCATCCTTTCTCTGGAAGGAACCTCCTGCAACTCTTTCGCTGACGGCGGCAGAGCAGCCCCGAGCCCGCCCTCAGTTGTTCGGGGAGGGGAGGAATGCAGGTACCGTTTCTGGAGGAAGACGCCCCAAGATCTCGATCAGGGCTCTGTACATTTCTTCCGAAGTCCCTTCAAAGAACTTGCCACAGCCAGACACAAAAAGGGTGTCACCTAGATAAACAGATTTTGGGGGGGAGGCAGAAAGAGAGAGATATTGAGAGAGAGGCACATAAGCCAGGGGGGGATTCATGAGGAGTCCAGAAGGTCAGCCAGGAGAACTCGGGTGGAGGTCAGGAGTCCAGGGGGACCCAGTCCTGGCCCCAGCTCTCACCTGTGAACACCGCCGGTGGCTCGGAGCTATTCGGCTTCGTCACAAAATAGCAGATGTGTCCAGAGGTGTGGCAAGGGGTAGCCAGGCATTTCACGTGGAGGGACCCCACCTGAGGACAGGAGACACAACGGGCCAGTCACGGATCAGGAAGGGCTGAACCCTCGCCGTGATCTTTCTCAACGTGAGACGGTCAATCGCGGCTTGTCAAGAGCGGGTGAAAGCAAGGTGAGAAGCGCGACCCTGGAAGCTGACCGCTACCCGCCTAGTCTGGTCTACTGCTGCCTGGATAAAGAGTTCTTGTGGCAGTCGCTCTGAGCTGCACTCAAGAGGAAGAAGCAGGCTTTCTCGTTACACAGAAACCTTCAACAGGCAGGACAGGACAACGGGCTCCTTCCCTGCGATGTTGGTGTGTTTCCATCTGCCGGGGGGGGGGGGAACGCACGGGCAAGAGACCAAAGCTGATTCAGCCAACAAGAAGCGTGCGATCTGCCTGATGAGGAATTCTATGCAACTCCAAAGTCTGTCTTTCTGTGCATCAGCCTTTCCCCCCTCCCTGATGCTTTCCGGCCACATCCAAGGATGTCACCTCAACCAGCGTGGCTCACAGGGAGGCTGGGAGCTGCCATCGTTGGTCGGCGGGCAGGTTGGCAAAGGCTGCCCCAGGCGAGCGAGAAAGCGGGGTGCAGCTCAGTGGCTGTGGATTTGTTAACGAGACACCTCTGAACAGGAAACGTGCACCGACAACACCTGGTTTTGCTTTGCACCCAGAGCCGAAGGGCTGCCTCAAAAGAATCCAGCTGAAGCTTCCTAGAAGGCAGGACGGTAGACGGTTCGAGAAGGTTTTTCTGCGCTCAACGTGAGCTCAGAAAAAAAGCATGAGAAGACCACTGTAGAGGCAGGTCCTTCTACAGACGGTGCCGTTTTACACCACCCTGCCCGTATCTCTTTGCAGCCAAAAGGGATCCACAGGCAGCAAAGACGAACCCGCAAGCCTTCCTCCGTCCTGGCCTGTTTTCACAGAAGAGGCCGAGCGCCAGCCAAGTTCCAAGCAGGCCAACAGGCTGGCGTCCCCCCACTCAGGGTGGCCGTTCGCCTCTTGTCTCTCCTCCCTGCAGCATCTCCTTTTTTTTCCGGGGGTGGAGAGGCCAGAGGGAGCAACGGCTTTGAGCGTCACCCCCGTTCGCACCCTCGCACATTCCGCAGCCATGCGCCCAAGCCAAAGCCAGCCACGTCGAGAGGGACGCCAGCCATCCTTTGGCGCTCGAGAGCGGCCACGCACAGAGAGAGGGCTGGGGAGGGACGGAGTCCAAAGCCGCCACCTTGGGCAAGGCCGTCCCGGGTGCTCAGAGGGGCTGCGGGGAAAGGCGCACGGGGCAAGCACGTTTCTCTGCCTTTTTTAAAAAATAGCTTTACCTGAAATGACATAAGATGAGAGACTTTCTGGGTGAGGGCTCCAACCCTGCTATCTCCCCCGTACACTTGTAACCCCGGCTCCATCTTTACCAGTTTCTCATTGCCACCGGCATGGTCCCTAGAAGGTCAAAACGTCAGACTTTGGACGCTGTGCGAACACACGCCGGACGACGACGCTTACATAACCCAGCAAACCTGCCTTTTTTCGTCCAGATTCCTTCTGGAACCCCAACGCCAAGATGGAGAAGGGGGCAAAAAATCAGCCACCCAAAAGCACCTGTTGTCTAGGAGCACGAATCGGATTTCAAAGCAAGCTTAGATTTCCAGCTTTTTTTTTAATACAACACCCTCTCATAGCTTCATGCAAAGAATCCTGGAAAAGGATTGACATGGTAGGAGGGGTGGGCTTTTTTCACCACCACTCCCTGGTGTAGAAGAACTACATTTCCCAAGAACTACGTTTCCCAGGATTCTTTGAGGTGGAGACCGCAAGAGGTCAACCAGAACTGGCTGAAATTTGCAGCACGGAGGAACAGCAAGACACCCTAGAAAGAAGCCATCTGTGCTCCATGGCGTCCGTCTTGGCTTGGAGCGAAATCTGGTTATATCAAAGGGAAGGGGTAGCTGGTTTGTTTGTTTGTTTAATCCCACAACAGACACCTAAAGATCACGTAGGTGCCCAAATAACAAGGCTATTCAATTCATTTAAATTATATAGGGGGAAAAGGTACCAGTGGTGATGGGTGGTAAGAACTGTGGTCAGTTTCACCCCATGCTTTCTGGCGGCATCCACAACCTGGAGACGCAAGGAGAGAAGGAAAAATAATTGACCGATTACAAAATCTGCTTTAACTCATTCTCATTGCCCTGCATTTTTATCCATCGTCTCCTTGGAGGAAAGAGTCCTAAGGGCTACCGTTCCTCCACAGCTCTGCTTCCCAAGCACAACAGAAGTACTGGGTGGCAAGAAATATTTTATTGATTTATTAAATTTATACCCCACCCATCTAGACACAAGTCTACTCTGGGTGTCAAATGCTCGCAGGGGTGCTGAGGATGCCACCCTTAATCCAAGGGGGGGCATCCCAAGATTCAGAGGGCCTTGGGTCCACCGGCCGTTGGGTTGACCCAAACCAAGAAAGAAGGAAGGGGGATGGTTTGGGAAGCGGTACCTTTTGGGGCTGCACCGGATCCACGATGGCAGCCTGCTTGGTCTCCTCGTCAATGAGGAGGTACATGTAGTTGTCTGTCAGGGCAGGAAGGAGCTCCACCTTCATGTTGGCCTGCGAGATGACCTTAGAGGGTCTTCTTTCAAACTCCGTGTGGAGGAAGCTCGCCCGAAGATGCGGTAGACCTTCAGAAGACAAACAGCAAGGAAAAACGTTTAGCCGAACGGAGGAAGGCAACACACGCCAACCCAGGAAGGCCTCTGCAATGATCGTGGCCAAGAGTCTACTAGAGAGGGTCATAGAAGGACCCAACGAGGGAGCAGTTAGCTCTATGAAGAGAGAATTCCGAGAAGAAGCAACAGTTCAACAGTCACACAAGACAGGGAAGGATGCTGAGTGAAGAGAAGATGCTTTCTACACAATCAGCCCAAAATTGTTTCTAACATAATATTGGCTATAGGCTTTGCATGGACCACCAAGCCAAGGAAGAACCACAGCTTGGTGGGAACTGACTGCAGATCTGTGAACATTGCTTGTTTTTATGCCTGACTGCCTACCTCTGCCAGCGTTTGATCTTAAACCAAAAGTTTTGTCCAATGGGTTTGGACTGCAACCTCCAGCAGCCCTTGCTGAGAGAGTTAACCTTTTCTCTTATTTTGATTATGCCTTCTGGGAAAAGGTCTTATGACCGCCACTCCCTGCAAAAGCGTTTAATTTATGTCTAGCGTGGTTTTTATTCTGTTGCAAACTTGCCCAAATTAGTGCATTGCACTGATGGGGCGGCATATAAATCAAAATCAAAAATAAAAGCCAAACTTATAAAACCACTTTTCTGGTCTGACCGTTACCACCTCCAAAAACATCTGCAGTGCTAGACCCGATGAAGAGTCTTATGGGGCCTGAAACCTGACCCGGTTTTCATATTTTAGTAGCCTAATAAAGGTGAACACCCACCCTTAGTTCCTGCATCTTTTACAAGGACGAAGCAGGTAGCTTTTGTTTTCTCAGTTCAAGAATTCTTTCATTTTCTAACTTGATCTAAGCCTACATTAGACTTTTCAGTCCAGGGCCTTTTCCTAGTGCCATTTATAAATTATTTCAAATATTTAAAAAAAATCTTCATTTTTTTCCTACTCGTTTGTCATGAAAAGAGCTCCAATTTATTTTTTTAAAAAGAAAGTAAGTCAGCTCAGAAAAGGTTCCCTTAAATGATTAACTGCCCCACATGCTCAGATCACAGAGTCAAGGAACTTTGTACCTGTACGAGCTAAATCAGGGTGTATTTGCTTTTCTAGCTACTTCTCTCAAGCGGCATAATTACTGTGGACATCTACCTAGAGCATTTCCTTCCCCCTGCTTTTTTTTTTTAATATTGTGACAGCAAAGTGCAAGAGTCTGTAAAGAATTCGGTGCAGTGCTAAAGATTAAACAGAGTAACAGAGCACCTTAGTGCATGAACCTGTTTATGGCCGCACACATTGAGCAAGTACATAAAAGGACGAATAAAATCATTCAACAATTTCATCATGGTCTGCAGGCTGAGAGTCTCAACATGCGTTTGGTGAGCTTGAAAATGAAAAGTTCACAGACCGTGGGATCCTTTGTTAATTTCATTTCCAGGGGAATATTAACAGGACTGCCCTCTGCAAAATGAAATGGAAAATAATCTAGAGGCCCGCACAATGTACGTAACCAGCGTTGCATCCAACCGATCCCGTGGAGCAAAGCAACATATTTTTTGAGACAATGATGTCTTCCCACGTATAAGGAACACTGTTACACTCTTCAACGGATTGATAACGGCTGTCAAACGTTTGCCTGTAAGGTCACTGGCACTACTTTCCGAGTTGCAACCCCCTTTTTTATAATAGCCAAGGAACTCACGATCACAACCCCTCCCCAGCCACGTTTGCATAAAAAGGCATATTTAATGGGGGGAAAGTCATCCCTTCTCAGAAAGCAGTCAATGGATTGATAACGGCTGTCAGACGTTTGCCTGTAAGGTCATTTGCACTACTTTTCCAAGTTGCAACCCCCCTTTTATAATAGCCAAGGAATTCACAATCACACACCCCCCCCGGCCACGTTTGCATAAAAAGGCATATTTAACGGGCGGGGGGGGAAGTCATCCCTTCTCAGAAAGCAGTGGCTTCTTTCTCTTGTTTTGTCTTTTTGACATAAGTTACAGTCGGCCTTGTCCTGATTTTGCTGAACTTTGTAAGATTGGTTACAGTGTAATTCAGAGATCAAAATAAAGATAACAGATGCTCATAGGAGGAAGTTCCATCACCCATATTTAAAAACCTGGAATATTGGGGGTTGGGGGCAAAGTATACAACCCCCCCCCCACAACTCCTGATACCAGTATGTCTTTCCAGGGGGGAAAAGGTGTCTCCCACTGGCCACCATTCATTGGACTAGCGAGACTTGTCAAAGCCTTTGGCTCAGTGATGCCAAAGGTCAAAGGGGAATGGCCGAACCTCAGACTTACATCCGTGCCTGGCTCAGGAAAGTGAGCCAAGGCACGTGCTGCAAGGAAAAGGAAAGATCCCATGGCTTCATGGGGGCTTAGTTCCTTCCCAAGCTTGCCTCTGGCCATCAGACGGTCAACGCGACCCATCCGTGTCTCCTCCTTCCTCCAGAAGAGACCTCGCTGATTCCTCCAGGGCCTCCCTAGAGCCCCTTCCAGTGGCGAAGGGCCAGCAGCCCCTTCCCCTCTTCCCCAGGCCACCGTTCCTCACCTGTCTGGCAGGTACGCCTCTACCGAGCAGGTGTAAAACAACCCTGGAGACAGGCCGTGGCCGGCTAGGAACGAGGAGAGCCAAGAGGAAGGCAAGAATCAATGGCCAAGAGGAGCCAATTCGAAGCCCCCTCGGTGGTCCAGGATTCTCAGCCTAGCCCGGGGAGAGGGGAGGTTTCCATTGAAGACGAGACCTCTCCTTCTCGGAGGGCAGCCTTGGCCTCGTTGCCAATCCAAGAGGTGCTGAATCATCACCTCCGAGGTGGTTTCTCGGGACGCCTCTCTCTTTCACTTTCTAGGCGGAAGAACCAGTTTTGGCTTCGCTTCCCGAGATACCAACACGAGGGGGGGGTTCCATTGAAGACGAGACCTCTCCTTCTCGGAGGGCAGCCTTGGCCTCGTTGCCAATCCAAGAGGTGCTGAATCATCACCTCCGAGGTGGTTTCTCGGGACGCCTCTCTCTTTCACTTTCTAGGCGGAAGAACCAGTTTTGGCTTCGCTTCCTGAGATACCAACACCCTGTCCCTGAAGGGTGGATCCTCTCGTTCTCCCTGCCCTCCTCATGCCGTGGCTCTCTTCAACTTTTGGAACAAGACTTCGAGACCATGGGGGAAAATCCCTGGGTTGGGGGAAGGCTTTGTTCCGAGAAAGGAAGATTCTGTCCCCCACCTCCGGCAAAAAGGGGAAGAAGAAAAAACTGTGGCCAAAATAAAGAGGATCATTACCAGTGGGATTTTAAAAAAAAAAGTGGAGGTCACAGATATAAAAATACCACGCCCGCACAGTCTCTGATAAGCCTTCGTACCCTCCGTCTGCCGTGGATTGATTCTACTGTCTCAATTCTCCATCTGTCCAACGGGCACGCAAGTGACGTTTTTCGTCCGTCGTGTGTTGCAAAATTAAAAGAGCCCCCCCCCTCCCCGTAGGCCAGCAACCTCTTGGCCAAAGAGTTTTAAGCACAGAGCCAGTTCGCACAACCGCGTGGGGCCAGAGGTCTGTCCTGCCTCACTGGCACCACAGGCCAAGGGTTAAAAAGGCATTCGAATTGTCCACTGAAAAGCGTGAACGGCTAATGGACGGAAGCCAGGGTGGGGGCGCCTGGTTAACTGACAGCTAGCAAAAAAACAAGACAACTCAGGCCACTGACCGTTCCTAAATATTTCATCACCTGAGCGCTGGCATATGACAGGACAGAGAGACCCAGCGGTTGTGGGAAGCGATGGAACCGTTCTGTGTCTTTCCGATCGTCTCCTCCGAACGCAGAAAGGTACTTTATGAAGCTGCACAATTTGGAATGCCGTTTAAAGCTGCATTTCTTATTCATGAGTAACTCTGCAGAGGTGAGAGGCTTGTACTAACTGCTATGGTACCAGGCCCACCTACTGGAGCATCTTCTCACCTGGCTGGTGAAAGCCATCCAGAGTTTCTGCTCTGGTGTCATCCCATGCTTAGAATTGAGCACGGGTCCATTTGCATGCAAAAGATGCACTCAGCCACTGAGCTACAGCCTTTTCAGATAAACGAATGCCAGGATTTGGGAGCAAAGAGAATTTCCTTGAATAAAGATGGGTGATTCTCTTGACGTCCATCCTTCAAGGGGTTTTGGGCACAGCCTTAAGCCTTTCCGTTCTTTGGGGGAAAGTGCTGAGAGGGACAAAGAGGATGACCGGCGAAGAAATACTGAAGCAAAGGGATGAACACCAAGAAATGATAAAATACATAAAATGCAGAAAGCTACAATACTTCCGCCAGAGAGCGAGAGACTAAATGGAAAGATGGCAATGGGAGGGTTTTAATAAATGGGGGAAAGAATTGCAAGTAGGCAGAAGAACTTATTCGGTGAAAAAAAATCCAGGCACACAAAGTCAAAACAGTCAATAATGTCCAGTAGGAGAGGAACAAGGATCAAGTCCGTAAAAGTTAGTAGCCCACCTTAACTGATCAACCCTGCTGCTCGTGACACCGATGTATGTCGGTGGCCTGATTTACAGATGCAGCTCTGACCTACATCAGTCTACTGTGAGTAAAAGATTATTTATGTAACAGCCTAGAAGGGTAGCATGAAGCTGTGCAGGATCCCACCCCCCCCAGGCACCTGACGGCAGGGCGGCAGGTTTTGCAACCCTCTCTTAGCCAGACATCTCATGAGTCAGGCGGCTGGCCAGCGCTTATGCAGAAAAACAAGGGGGGTGTGTGACTCTTAGAAACCAGGGCAGCAGAGGACTGGAACGGGGGACCTGGGTTCAAAAACTCCCCAACAGGGCCAGAAAAGCCACGGTGTCATCTGGGCCTACCCACATGGTCTCTGGGTCTCGCCTAGCTGAGAAGGCCGCCTTGAAGACACCGAGTCAGGAAGAGAAGGAGACCCACGGATACAGGATGGGGAAAAGATGGAATAATGTAAATAAATGAAGGATAAAGGCAATGGCTTTCATTTCCCGGCATCTCACGGCGCAGGGTGGGTTTGTGAAAGGGTGGGAAAGTGTTCTGTCGAACTCCCCTAATTCCACATCTAGTCTGGTCCTTGCCCATCTTTGTCAGAGGATTCTGGGCCTTGTAGTCCAAAAACATAGCTTTTCCAAGCCTCCGTGGGAGAGACCTCCCATTTCCCTGGGGAACCTTCCTTAAAAGGCAGCGGGCAGGGTGGTTAAGCCCTTCATGAAGGGAGTTAATCTAACAGTCACCAAATATACCCAAAGCAAAGCAAAAGGGGCTTTGGAGCCCCTTTTGAGGAATACGAGTTTATTTCAGTGGCCCCGGAAACCCATCTTGTTGTCTTTAAAGTGTCTCCAGACTTTCTGGTTTTGTGACATCTGTTGAAACAGACCGCTATGAGAGTACCTGTCTTTGGAAATCATTGGCAAACAGAAGAAATTCACAAAGCTTGGGGGAAAGGTGGAAAAACTCCAAAACCTCAGGTCTGTTTGGATCAGAAGGGTTACTCTGTCTTGTCTGTGTTTTTAAACGCACAGCGATGCAGATCAGGAGGTGGGGAGGAAGATAAACTATCTCCCGTCACACCTCTGGGACTGGCGGCGGCGGCGCTTGTTCGATGCTGTCCCGTCTCTTCCCACGGGATTATGGCAACCCTAAATAGGAGGCGTTCACGGAGGGGTTTGCCAGGGTCGCCCCGAAGTGAGAGCTTACAGGGCCGAGGTAGGACTTGAACTCGGACCCCATGCATTCCCTGTCCAAGTGGGGATCTGGACCCAGATTTCAAAGCTACCCACCCACCCAGCCCTCCTGGCCTTTGGAGGGGTGCGCAGACCCCGGGGGGGGGAGGGGTGCCTACACAAAAACCTCAACGCTGCTCCCTCGGGGAGACACACAAACACACACACACGCCTT